AAAAAATTAGAAAATATTTAATTTAATTTTTTCAAAAAAATTGAAAAGACCTAAAATTTATATATATTTTTACTATTTTATCATTTTTAATTTTTTAGATTTTTTAAAAAATTTTTAAAGACTTTTTAATTTAGATTTTTTCTAAAATAAAAATTGTTACGGCAATAAAATTAACAAGAGGGACTAAAATTTAGATTTTGATCATATTAATAATTTAATTAATGTTATCAAATTTAATTTGTATGAAGATAAAATTTTTATGAAGTTTATGAAAAAGATTAAATTTTAAATTTCGTGTGAACATATGAATTATTTAAACAACTTAATAATTGATTTCATTTATCTATGTTATCATATCAATAAAATAAAATTTTAATTAAATTAATGATCGACTAAAATTATTAAATAAAAATAATACAAAAATTATATTTTTATTAATTATAATAAAGAAATTAATTTTCAAAATTCGTTAGAATACTTGAACCATTATCATAATTTGACTCATCTATTTAACTTCAAACAAAGAGTGACACTTAACAAATAAATAATCATTAAAATATCATATTAATTAATAAATTTATAATTTAAATAAAATTTTTTTAAAATTTAAATATGTCGATAAATATTTCATTATATAAAAATTATTCGTTATGCCAAAATTTTTATTTATGTAAAAAGTTTTTTAATTTCTTGATTATGCCATTGTATCCGTAAAAGCAAAATTACTGAAATTTCCATAACATCGTTTACACCCTTTTTCTGCGAAAATCTCTCTTGTTTGGTTGGTTGTTGTACTTTGTGCAAATGAGATGAAAATTTCTCAGTGTTGATTGTTTATGAAGTCTGAATTATAAACCTTCTCTGCCTTCTAAAAGCAAAAAATTGTGAGAAAATTCAGTAAAAAAAAATCCAAGAAAGAACTACTAAAATGTTAAAGAAAAGAGAAAAGCAAATAGAGAGGCAAATAAAGAGAAACGAGGAATAGAGAGCCAAATGATCAGATAATTTTAGTATGATTTTTTTAATCCACATTATATTTTTCAGAGAATAAGATATCATCATTTCAATGACTCTGAATCCGACTTCACCAAATTAACCTATCAATAATTTAAACAAAAATTCAAAAAATTGAGACTGAACAAAATAATATAAGAAGGCTCAGAAGTATCCATTGCTGATTCTCTAATCACAAAAGCCGCTAAAAACCCTTCGTAAAATAGGTAGTTTTCAACATCACCGCCTTCACTCGTTTATCATTCAAAAAACAAAAAAAACCAAAATCAAAGCTTTAAAAACTTATCAATGCCAAAATTGGTATGCCTCTGAGAGGAAGAGGAGAGATTGAGATGCATTAAAGGATCTACAAAAAAGAAGCGAATTCATAGCATTGGCTTCAGCTGCGGTGTTGGCCTTCGCTGTCGCGTATAAACAGAAAAATCTAAAGTAGGGCTAGGGTTAGGATTTTTCACCCGCTACTGAGAGGAGAGAAGGGGCGCGCCCGACCTTATTACGAGTGTACTCGTGTTTACTAGACTCGGTTGATATCTAACTGGTTTGGGCTTTCTTGCCATAGCTTTATTTGGGCTTTAAAGGATTCCGTTTTGAAATTATGGGCTCGGCCTCAGGCTTCACTTCATTTTGACGAGAAACCATACATTGATAGTTTTATTCACTCTTTTTTTTTTTTGGGTACTTTTGGTACATTTTATCCATGTTGTGTAATTGAATTATTAAATATAAATTTATTTTTTAAAATTTAATTATATTTATTTTTTTCATAAGAATATGAAATTCAATATTTTTACAGGATTGTTAACTCTAATTTTATGGTAGAAGCTTAAGTAAAGAAAATGAGTATTTTACTGGGAAGAGAAAGAGGTTAAGAATTCTAGTTCAACGACAATAAGGTAGTTGTTTGACTGTATGGGAGTGAGCTATCGTAAGATTCCTAGTTAGATGTAACCTATTTTGAATGAAATTAATTTCATAAAAAATTGACTTGAAAAATGGAAAAGAAAAAAAATAGCAATCTAATGCCAGCCTGTGGAACAAAAGTAAGGAAATGATTGATCTTTACTTGGGGGGGTAAAAGCAGAAATTAGATAGGATGAAATATTTCGTATTCCTTTTGACTAGACAAAGATAAAAATAAGAACTAAGGACGATGGGGCATTATGGAAAACACTTTCCCTTCTAAACATGTTCTGCATTTTAGGATTACATAACTTACTCAAGTCAGTCAAGTGAGTTTTTATCAGCCTTTCTTTTTCTCAATCCAAATTGGCGGTGGCTTCTTGGTTACAAAACAAAAGGAGTTTCATATTTGTCTGATACTTCGAAGAAAAACGTCCTGAAGGAGTGGAGACCACGTTATTTCGTGAATCGTGACCACACACGGCTCTCCCATTGGGCACTGTGTCATTTATGAATTTAAAAATTCAATGCCCATTGTTTGACGATTGATAGATGGGTCTGTAAGTGTGGACCCTGTGAAACCCATTTTCTATCCAATGCCGAAGTGGCCATCTCAGTATTGTCACCATTCAAGAGCAAGAAAATCTGTCCAGGGACAGCTGACAGCAAAAAGTAACAAAAAAACCTGTTGCCTCTCAGACATCCCCAGATGGCCTTTCCAAAGAGCTGAATCCCCCTGTGAGCGCTTGTGCTGGAAGGGTTTATCATTGGCAATCTTTTTTGGCTTATTGCTTCCATTTCCATATCTTTGCCGGGTGTGCTACTGTTCACGCCAAATTGGCGCTGACCTTTGATCCTCCAATCCCATAAAATCAAGGGTCGTCATGTTACTTCCTCCACTGCTTGATCCAAATATTGATGGTTCCTTTCTATCGCCTGAGTTCTTCCCTTTAACAAATTAGAGTTACCATTATCTTCATGTTCCATGGCTTTCATTAAGCAGTGGTTTTGGTCAGCTCCGTTAATCAACATGTTAGTGAAAATTTGCCATATCATTCATTGCTGAGCTCCCTGTGGCAGAACTAAAAAGTCGGGCCATTTCATTGGGGCTTTTTGGCATGAGCGGGTTGGAGAATCCTCCCCCGCTGATCCCAACCATGCTTGACTGATCATAATGTGATGAAAAGCATGACCGTAAGATGTGTTCCGCTGCTGAATTCCTCCAAAAGATGGTGGTCTAATGGACTGTTCAGGACCTGCCAAGACAAATAGAATTGCTTAGTTATCATCGATGACGGATAGATATAATTTATGAAGCAAACATCAAACAACAATGTGAAGACAGAAATGTAACACTGGCATGATTTCTTGATTATTTTATGGCAAAATCGAATATAAAAGACGACCCTAAGCACCTTTCAGATGATGGACTGTCACAAATGCTGAATAATTTAGAAGGAACCAGGTTGGTAATTGACATAAGCTAAGTAACCCCATGGATAAAAGCAACAGAAAAGACGGCCATGGCCTGGTATTCTTTCCCATGAGTGTTCCTTTTGAAGTATTTTCTCTCATGAAAATGATGTTTGATCGACCTAAAAAAAAGAAAAACTAAAGAATTTTCTATTGGTTGTTGAAACGGACGTGTTTTTTTTAAAAAAAAAACATTTTAGTGGTGCATCAAGTGTGAATCTTGTCTATTATATGTCTGGTAATGGTCAATGTTCAATACTATTGTAAATTGGATGGATTTGAAAGAATTTGTTTCATTTTGCCTGGTTAAAGGGATAAAAACGTAGTTTTCATAATGGTCCCAGACTGAAATTTATAAATAATAATAAAAAAAAAGATTGGTCACTTTTTACTCAAATTTTTTTCCTTAAGCACATAATTTCTTTGAAAAAAATTTGGAAGTCACAAAGGAATCACTTTATTATAAGTTCTAGATACAATTTTAATTAGGCAAATGCTGAAGTTTATAACATAAATATTATTTCACATTTAATTGCTTACTTTTTTGATATAAAGAAAACAGCAGTATGGAGATTGAAAAAATAATTATTATATAAATTAATTAGATTAAACTTTAAATTCTTTACTTTTCTTTTTTCCTTCATGCTAATTACCAAACGTATTTTTTTCTTCAAATTCTTACCCATTGGGGATTTTTTAAAAAACTTGAATCATAGGATCAACTCTGCCAATCACTGGAGCACTGATGGAGATTAAATGGAAGGAGGAAGAAAATCTTTTGGAATCCAATACCTTTTTGACTAGTTAAAGATAATCCAAAAAGTGAGAAGTGAAAAGATTTGTTTAGAATAGGAGCAATTAGGTTTAGAATTATTTTTGTAACATTAGTTATTAACATCATCATCATCACCACCGGGCTTATGAAGTGGGGTCCCTTGGTCCATCTATGACAAAAAATTTTCAACAAATGAAATTTCACCAGTTGTATAATTCAAGTAGTGGTTTCCCTCCTGGAAAACATGGCTTCTTTTCACCCGTTTGGAATTAATGTGTATGCATCAATGATCTGCAACCATTTGATAACTCGATATTGGGTAGACGTAAATTTTGTGTTCTTGGATTTTCTCTAATTACTCACTTTAATTCACACTTTCTTATTTAAAACTTAACAAATTAATTTCAATAATTTTTAGGTATCATGCATGTTGCAACCTAGCTATAGAATGCAGGTGCTTTTCCCAGGGGAAAATTTGTAATAGATTTAGGAGGAAAGTTCCCGAGAAAGATTGCTTTTACATGGTTTTATTTTCCTTTTGTTCCCTCTTTCTTTGGTGGGTAACATGCAAGTGAAGAAAATTTTGGCACCGTGAGTATGATTGATTGAACGTTTGCTTTCCCTGTGTTTTTACTGGCTTCAAGTGCTTATTTTTTGGCTGTGAATAAGTTGCCTCCAGAACAAAACTCACAGATGATATCCTGCAATGGCAATGCCATCCTCTTGTTCCGAATAAGACAACTAAAGGAAAGAAATGGGACAACTTTAAGTGCTATTGATCTTGAGTCTCATACTCTTTTAAATTGAAAAAAAAAAAAAAAAGTCACAATAGGACAACTTTGTTAAATTGAAAATCTTACGGAGGTATAAAATTTTTTTTTGCTTTATCCATTTTTTGAGGACAACACGTTTATACACAGATAAATTAACTGGAAAAAAAAGATCATCTTCATCAAGATCAAAGGTTGGCATTAGCAATATTCAGCAGTCAAGCCCTATAAGGAATACCGTTTGGAAGTCAATTATCTAGAAAAAGACAGTAAGAGCCACCCGCTGTCAATTGCTCCTACGCTGAAAAAGGTTAATCCAGTTGAAGGAATTGTTTCCCCGCCTCGCCTTTCTGAAATTATAACCAGTCGTTGCACCATCGATTTTGTCTGACTTATGTAAGATGAACATGTGTGATACATATTTTTCACCTTACATTGATAAAAAAACTGCAGCTAGTTGGGTGAATGGGTGTTGCGTTTTCCTAGAATGATTAAGGAGACATTAGGTCTCCAATTATTGACTAGAAAAATCAAAAGCACCCAAAACACAATGCTTTGGAGGACATGGTGGGATACATGGTTTTTCCAGGAATAGCTAAGAAATTAGCTCGCTCATTTCTCCATGTATCAGATTCAGATTAGAGACTGGACTTGGTATTTCTTCACACTGCAGAAACCATCCTAATTCTCCTCCATGTTGGGGTTACTTGCACCATTTCTAAAAATGGAACTAACAACAGGTCTCCCACGAACTCTCTGTGAGTTATTCTGCAAAGCCTCTGCAGCCTTTCTCTTCCTCTTGGGACTGAAGAACCCACATTCAAGAGCTTCTAATGCTTTAGTGGTTAATGGTCGGTTCCTAGTACTTTGCCTCCGATTGTGCATTATAGGATGCTGATTGACCTCTGCACCTTTATTGGGAAGCTTCAATGGCTCAGGCCGCGGCGGAATTTCGGACTGAAAGAATGATATATGTGCACATGAATTCTCACTGTTTTTCACTGTCTCTGTGACGAAGGGTCCATTGGTTTCAAAATCCATTGAAACTTGAGGAACATTCAAGTCTATCAATGTATGCAACCGAGTCATTATCGGAGATTCTTGTCTATGCAGGCAGTTTTGAGTGACATTGCCTTCCTTTCCCTCATCACGATGGACTTTAGACAAAGAACTGGCAGGAGACAAGTCTTGGGATCCCGTTTGAAAAACCATATCTTCACAAGCATCAGATGAGTTAGACCTACAGTGCGAAGTGTCTTCATTTAACATCCTGGCAGCAGAAATGTTTTCAACACTACAACTTGATTCTCCATTGGTGCAATCAGTTAAACCCTGCTCTTTACTAACAGGAGCCAAATATTTGGAGTCACTAGAGTGAACATTTTGGACGAAATTATACTTCACAACCTTTTGCCCCTCATCATCAAGCAGACTTGCGTGGTGGCTTTCATGGTTTTCCACTGATATAATGCTGGTATCAGAGGTGTGGGGAATTACAGTATTTGAATTACTATTTACACAATCTGATAAGTCCACACATTCTCCCTCGTCAGCCATGGCTTCTGCAGCATGTGAAGCACTATTTTCTTCAGCTTCATCTTCTGAGTCATCAGATGTGTCCTCCTCAGAATCACTGGAAATGCTAGAGGGGGTGGATAAGCTAGTAGCTTCAAGAGGTAAGCTTCTCAGCTCTCGAACCTTGGACCGTTCAGCCCCTTGGACCAAACTAGTGTCTACAATTGTAAACTTCATTAGATCTCGATTGCAACCAGAATTTCGTGGCTTGAGGTAACGAATACGTTTATTTGACATAAAATCAGGATCTTGTTTTATTGTTGGGTCCCACTTATTTTCTTTGTTTTCTCTACTGCCTTTAGACACTTCAATTTCAAGCTCTAGAAGCCCTGGCTCTGATGCAACTTTATTAAGAACATCACTAACAGAATCAAAATAGTGGTTACCTTTCACTAGTCTCCTCTTTGAAAACTTCTTAACACCAGGTATAAGAAACACCAGAGAATTCTTCGAACCAGAAAGAACCTGATCCTTTGGCTGTTCAGAGTGCCAACCTCTGGCTAAAAGGCGAGGCCAAACAGCTTCCCAAAAAAGATCGCTGGATCTAGCTTTGCTCAACCTAAAATCTCCTGTTAGAAACTTGATAATATCTGCTGATGTAAGAGCAGAACATGCTTTGCCAACTGGTATTTCAGGACGAAAAGAAACTACATGATTGACTTTTACTGGCTCCATGGCATTGCCAGTGTGATCTTGCTTTCCTTTGCCAATACCTATAGCTTCTATGAGGAGACCAATTCCAACTGTATTCTTTATAGTGAAAACGTATTCCTCAAAGGAAACTTTTCCCTCACCAAATGTCTTAGAAACCTGCAACAATCAGAATTCATAAAACATCAACACGAAATATTTTTCTCTTAAAAATATAGAACAAATATAGCTGCAGTAAACTGAGAATTTCAACAATAAGTAGACTTCATAACAAAAACCAGGAGTTTGAACGAAAATCAATAAATGTTCTTGAAATGTAGCTAAGAATAACTGCTCTTAGAGATAAACTGCAAAACGCCTAAGATTTTAGACAGAGGTTGAAAAAGGAAACCTTATATGTGTGGTTGAAATGGAGCCCCATTTTAAATCCATTTAATGTGTAGTTGAAAATAGACCAAATAAAAGGGGTTGAAAAGGCCTAAGCGGAAAAAGCATATCAGGCATTCTCCTTTCTCTTGTCCATTCAAAAAATCACATGAAGCCCTATAGATACACTGCAAAAATTCTCTGGATAATAATGTGAATTTCAGGGGAGATGCAATTCCTAAGAACAACAGAAGTTTCTAGGCATAATTGTAATCCCTTACAAACATGCACTCTTCTATGTTTCTGAAACTGAGTAAAGAGTTCCAGGCAATTTACAGCAAAGAGTATAACCCCCAGTAAAGGAGATTAAACTCCATATATCCAGATAGATAGCCAAACACTCGAACTACTGTGCTTCAAAAATGTCAGAATCAGTCCAAGGAGGAGCCAAAGGGCACAATTCTTGTCAGAGACAAGAAAATGAAACACCAACAGCCACAATACATCCAACCTTATCAACCTAGTTCACATGAATAAATTTCTATGAGCAGGCCTAAATGAACGGAGAAGATGAAGAGACTAAGATAGCAACAAAAGTAAAGCGCAAGCATAAATTACCTGCTCCTTATTCTGAAGGAAACTTTAGGAGAATAATGGCCACATGGCAATTGGCACTACACAGCTCTTAGTAAAAAATAGAATTTTGCTTTCCAAAAGGAAAAATAGAAGTGTTAAAGGGAAAAAAAGCCTTAATAAATTAATTATATTTACTTTACATTACACTAATCTATCAACATTTCTGAAGGTGTTAGCAACAACCAAAGCCATGCTCTTCCATTATCAAAAAAAATCTTGCTCTTCCATGTTACCTCTACAGCTGGGCCTTTAGTTAGTTGTCCCTTTCAAAAGACAGGTTATCAAAGAGAAACACTGCTTTCAATCAATGAACAGAATACTCAAGCATGGCCCCAGTAAAACGTACATTTTTTGCTACTCTGCTTCAAGTTCCCCATCTCAAACCCTAGATAGCATCTATGTTATTTTTCTGGTTCACGATATTACACCACAAAAGCATCACTAATTGCCATGCGCAAGTATGTAGCTTTCCAAAGTGGTCTGACTTCAACCACCTTGAAAAGTTACATAGTTGACACTATGTATCCATGCAGTTTGCATGATGCAAATTTACATAAATAACACTTGAAAATAAAAATCGCAAATCAAGTAAAAATTTCAGAAGCTGATAAACCATGCTAATTAGCAAAAAAATAAGGTACCAATGGACATAATAGTTTAGTATTCCTACACCAGGTTTAAAGGTAGTAGAGGAGAAATATAGCGATTAGGAAATGAGTAAGTGTACACTTTACAGCAGTAAATGATACATAAGGACTAATTAACAAAATAAATATAAGTCGAATTATTTAGAAAGATCATATGAGTGGATGTTGTGCATAAAAAAGTCAGAAAAATACCTCAAGCAACATATCTTGGTCTTCTTTTGAAATATGAGAAAATAGTTGTGACAATAATTGCTGTTGCCTCCACCCTGTGAACAGCTTTTGTCCAAGTATGCACCGTCTGCCTCTTGATTTTCGACATTCTGACCATCTACAATATCCATCCGACCTGTAAAACTTTCCATAATAGAAAGACAATATTTCTCCCATCCCTTTACTTTCAACAAAATTTTTCACAAGGATAAGATTTTTTCCAAAGATGTATAGCCCAAGAAGAAAAATGTCAAGTTCGATAGCCTTCCACACTTCACTCAAAGAGCCTGGAAGAGGACAGGGAACTCTATGCACCTGATTCATCTTAGATTTTGGCTCCTTTGGAAAAAGTAAATCAATATCCTTCTTAGTTTTGGTTGTAGGTTGAAGCTTCGAATACCCTCTCATGTTTTTCCCATCACCCAACACAGAATCTAGACTTTCAACTTTATATTCTGCACATCCATGGCTTGATGTAATGCGGCTTTCTTCATTGTTTTCAAATTCCAATGCACCATTTATGCTTTCAACTTCAGTCTTTGTCCAGAAAAGAGGGATAGGCAATCCCATTGGAAAAGGGTTTGGCACATTCATTATAACTTTTGAGTCAGTTGGTTCCTTGACAACTTGTAAACTACGATGTTGTCCAACTAGAGGTGGAATTTCTGCTTGGTATTGATCTCCAACTCGAGGAATCACCTGTGGATCTCCAAAAATTTCATCCATAAAGGAACATGTAGCATGTAATTGTTCAGCAGATTCATCTTCAATGCCCTTAATGTGATTATCCAAAAGAGTAGTGTCCATCTGCCCAAAAAGTGAGCAAAAAGAATTAAATTGGAAAAACTAAAATGGACATAAGACTGCATAAACCCAGCTCCACATCTCTAATTTACTTCGAGAGGGTCATGAATGCAAAACATAGGGACCTCCTTATATGGATGGAATGGGAACTTTTCAATATTTTGAAATAGAAATACATAGAGCATCAATTTTCTACTGCTAGCCATACATGTAACTGATAAAGTCAATTTCTTTGAAGTTAAATGCCAAAACACACTTGTCAGACTAATTTCATCAGAATGAGATCATAATCCTCTCATGTAAATATAACCAAAAGCTATACACGTATTAAACCTAGCTTAGAGAATTAAATTTCCAGCATATTTCTCAAAGCAGAAAAAATGGGAGCCCTTAATCCAAGCATGATGCTCATTACTACAATTAAAACAGATAGCATTTATATTTGTAGTAATCTAAATTACCAACAGCAAGAACCAAAACCAGGTGGATACCAACATTCAAATGCCAAGGCACATGTTAACATGCCAATTGAACAGAAAAAAAAAAAAAAAGACATAAAACCAAAATCTAAACTTCCCAATGACACATAGCAGTCAATACATCAATATATCAAACAATCTCATCGAAACACATGGTACGCAGCAAAATGAAATCACCCAAGAAAATATGTCCACTATACAGTTAAAATTAACATGTAACTCTATTTTTTAGAAAATAAGCCGCAGCCTGAGATAGGGAAAAGGATTGCGGGTACTTGGATTTTAATCTCAGATTTCACAGGCGCCACATATAACCAACTAAACAACTATAGAAAACAGTAAGAAAAAGTACATTAACTAATAAACAGTTGATAAGAAATACATATAAACATGCAAAAGAACGGTTTTTGTTAAAGAATGACATATGGCTAACCTCCATAGAAGAACTTGAACGTTAAAACGCACGTGCCGAAATCAACCTGGACAAATGGGTTTTCATTGTTATACATCTATAAACCTCGATTGTCAACTCTTTTTTTTTTTTAATTGACCGAAATAAACTTGTTTTTAATCTCTCTTGACTCCTTTCTCGTTGCCATAAATAAAGCAAAGCAAAAAAAAAAAACTACAAAAACAAATAAAAATAGAAAAGAACAAACAAGACACGGTAATGGGTAAGAAAAATTTTAGTTACCTTGTCAGAAAGACTCAGCTTTTATGAATACGGAAAAGTTGAATTGACTTCGCAGAGAGAGAATACCAATAAGAAAAAGAAAGCAAAGAAATTCTCCTTAGTTTTGCTGTTAAGAGAAGAGAGAGAGGATTAACGCTTCTGTTCGGTTTGATTTATGAGAGTTGAGACCGCAGGCGTTCGTAGGTGGGTTTCGATGCATGGATTAAATGACCAAAAAGGACATGTCTATGTTGCTTTTACGTTGGCTTTCGACACTGCTATTTTAGGAATTTTAGGGCAGTGCTTTTGGGTTTTCGTTCTCAAACAAATTTCTTTTGAACATTTTACTTTCGTGCTGAAATTCTACGTAAATTAATAAGGTTAATTAGATCATTTTGCAATAGTAAAAGAAAAGGGTTATTACGGAAATAAAAAATTTATATATATAATTTCATAATAATATAAATTTAACATAAATAAATCACTCCGATATCTTAAAACAGAAAGTAAAATTCATCGTCTTCACATGTTTAAACTTACCAATTGAGTTTTCTTTTTGTTCGCAGTCATCATAAGGTATCGATTCGAAAACTTGATCATTAAATATAAAAAATTAAGAAATCGTCATTAATTTTTTTTTATTAAAGTGTGATTAGCCACCAATGCTATTTTTTGATCTAAGAATTTGAGGTTGAGTTTAAGAGTAATTATATGTATGGAAAAGATTATAATAACCTTACTGTATTCATTTGAAAATGATACCAAATAATCTTATATGATCATAAATTTGTCCCATTCAAATAGTCTTTCACTTATTATCTTATTATTTTTGTTATTTGAGTTTTTATTATTTGAATATTGAAAATTTTTTAAATTATTTCTGACATTTTTGATATAATTTAAAAAATTTTCTCACTGCAAAATGATTTAAAGAAATCACTTATTTCATTGAAGAAATTTCGTTGTCAGATTTATTTTAATATTTTGAAAGTAAAGTAGATTATAATTTACTTACACAAACATTTATGGTATGATTTTAAAAATTTAGAATAAAATCACCACTTGTGATTTTCTCTTAATTTCATCATCGACAAAAATTTTAATCTACTTTGTAATGTTTATTTATTGTTTATTTTATTATTAAAAAAATAAAAATTTATTGATTAAATTCTTAAAATATTTTGATACAGTCACCACTTGTGACTTTTATTCTTGTAAAATTTCATTTACCTTGACAACTTAAGTATTTTATATTTTATTAATTTTTATTGAAAATAAAATTTCAAAATCTTACCAATATTTTTAGCAAAATTTTGAAAAAAAAAATAATTTTTTAAGAATCACCACTTGTGATTTTATTACTATTGTTATTACTTTTCTTTTTATATTTAATTTTTTTGTTTGAAAAATTCTAAATATTTAGAAAATTTCTTTATGTAAATTTTCAATAAAATCACCACTTATGACTTTATTTTTTATTAATATTATTTTTTTATGTTTGAAAAAAATTCTAAAATGCTTTTACAATATTTTAAAAAATTTCATTATGTAAATATTTTTAATAAAATCACTACTTGTGATTTTATTTTTTATTAATAATTTTTCTTATATTTGAAAAAAATTCTAAAATATTTCTAACACTTTTAGAATATTTTAAAAAATTTCTTTGTGTAAATAATTTTAATAAAATCACCATTTGTGATTTTTTATTTTATCATATTTTATTTATTTTGCATTATTTATTTTTATTCATTCATTATTATAAATTTTATATTTATTATTTTTTATTATATTTATTTTAACTTATATTAAATTATAAATTAAAAATACTATAAATAACACAAAAATGGAATAAGTAATAAATAATAAAAAAAGAAAGAAAATAAAAAAACTAAATTTTCATTGGTCAATGGAGAGTCAACGTCGGTCAATGGAGAGTCAACATCAGTCTGAAGCGATCTAAGGGGATTCTGAACCGGTTCAGCTCAACTGATCAAAGGTTGAAGAAGGCCAAGTCATAGGTTGGGTTGCACAGATCTCGAGTTGGATCAGATCCACAGTCGGATCTAGATCTATGTGTGGATCTTTCTTGCCTAAAACGACGTCGTTTTCACTTTTTTTTACAACACTATAAACGGCTAAATTTTTTTTATTTCATTTATTTCTACTCTTTTCTTTCTTTACTCTCTCATTTTCAAACTTCCTCTCACATTTTTAAAGAAAACCAAGTATTTAATGGTTTTCAATCGTCACCACCGCAAACCACAGTCGAGGGAGTTTGAAAAAATTCTAAAAAATCATAAAGAATTATTTTGCTTCCCTAAACCCAGATATGGCCTTCCTTTTGCAAAAAAAATTTCAATTAGTGTATATCAAACTTTAAAGTTTCGACCAAAAATTATTTTGTTTATTTTTTACGTTGAGATCCTCGCTACCAGGGATTGCGTTTCTTATGTTTGTGTTGTTTGGTTTTGGTTTTGATATTTTTAGGTTTGGACAAAAGTTTTTTTTTATTTGGTAGAGTTTTTTTTTTTCAAATTTTTTTGCAAACTTTTTTTTGTTTTTTTAGATTTTGTTTCTTTTTTTTTTTGTAGGGTTTTCCTTCTTAGATGGCATTTTTTTTTCTCTCTAGGTTTTATTTATAAAGTTTTTTTGGGATTCTAATATCAGATTTTCTGAGATTTTGTGAAAATCTTAAAGATTTGGCCATGACTTTTAGTCATCAAATTTCATGCTGTTAAATTAGGCAGATGTCAGAACTGTTGGTGGCCAGCAGTCAGTGATTGAGTTTTTGGACTTGAAATGGGCGATGGAACATGTAGATTTAATGCATGAAAAATTTATGCAGAGAAAAAAAAGAATCGAACAAAAAAAATAAAAAAATAATATTTAGATTAACTAAGATCAAACAAAATAGGTATCTATAGCTACACCTCTTTGCTTATTTCTAAGAATAAAAAATAAGGCAAAAATAAAAAAAAATAACCATTTTGTTCAAGCAAACATATACAAAAGACAAAATACTGAACACAAAGTTTTTTTTTCCTTTTAAACTGAAAGACTCTTTTAAGTAGGGTTCGACAAATTTTAAAAAATCTAAAATATTTTGTCGTGAGGACTTACGAATATTGATAATAAATGCTCATTTAAACAGAGGCTCAATAATTAAAAAAAAAACTCATCTAAGTAGAGGCTTAACAATTTAAAAAAAAATTCTTTTAAGTAGAAGCCCCATAATTTTAAAAATTTTAAAAAACTTCTTTAAGCAGAGGCTCAACAACTTTTGAAACATTTAAAAGGCTCCTCTAAGTAGAAGCTCAACAACTTTTAAAAAATTTAAAATATTCTGTCCAGATGACTTATGAATCTTGATAAGAAAAGCTCATCTAAGCAGAAGTTCAACAACTTTAAAATTATCATATTTTCTTAAAACTGAAATATGTCTTTGAAAAAGCAAATTTTTCTTTTTTGAGAATTAAAGTCTTATCTTTTATCATTATCCTTTTTCGAAGGCTAAAAATCTATTTTTCATTAGAGAATGAAAAATCTTTGTTCTTGCTATGACTTGTAATCTTATTTTTTTCATGGATGTATGCACCAAATACTCTAAATGCAGTGCATGTAATGTAATCAAATTATTTACTTTCAATTGTGGTAAAATGTTTTTAAAATCTTTTACCTTTTTTTGCTTTAGTCACCAAAATTCTCAACGATTGTCATAGGACTAATTTGTCATTATTATGTGATCCTCACATTTTTCAATAGCCTTTCCTTTTTTTAGAAGTTTGCAATACCAATATCTTGTCATGTTTTTCTTATCATTTTCTACCTACCTTTATCAACTTTTAAAAAGTAATGCTGAGATCTTTCATATTATTGGTTAGTTTTTCATCATTTTAAGTTCAAGACAAATAAAATGCATCACACATTTCTTCCATTCATTTGTAGGGTGGACAAGGATAGCAAATGAGATAAAAGATATATATATATATATATATATTATTTTTATTTTTTAAAAAAGAGGGACACATTTCATCAAATAGATGACAAAAGCATAAAAGTGTTTGGGTGGGAACAAAAACAACCAAAGAATGATTATAAGATAATCATTAACAAGTTATTCCTAATTTTTTTTAAAACTTAACCAAATAACATCCTTAATCCTTCAGAGCTTGTCAAACCATGTTTGTCACTATGTTGTGAAGTCATCTCATAATGCTGTTGCTACTTTATATCTAAGTTGCATTTTCAAGTTTTCAACTTAGATATATTCCTATTTTTCTCGTTCTTCTCTTTTTTTTCTTTTTTTTATAAAGCAAAGTATCTTTTCACAACATTGGAGTTTATCGGATTCGACAAATCATTTTCACCCATTTTTACCAAAATCAATGCCCCATTAGTAAAAGCTTTTTTCACCATGCATGGACTTTTCCAATTTGCTATCCATTTTCCTCTATTGTTATATTGATTTGAAAGGATTCTTTTTAGCACTAAGTTTTCTTTTCCAAAGTGATAAGGATAAATTTTCTTATCATGTGCTCTCATCATCCTCTTCTGATATAATTGACTATGGCAAAGTATTGTAAGTCTTTTTTCTTTAATGAGATTAATGCCGAGTAGTGTAAAGAATCAATATGGGTTAAAAAAAAATTATTCTTAAGACTTGCTTTATTCAAACCCTGATAGTCGACACACATTATCATCTTTTCATCTTTCGTGGGAACTGGTACCATGTTGACTACCCATTCAAAATATTTCACCACCTCTAAAAATTCAGCATCAAATTGCTTATTTACTTTCTCTTTAATTTTTAATAGCATTTATAGTTTCATGCATCTTAACTTCTATTGTACCGATTTGTATTCCAATTTCAAAGGTAATTTATGCTCTACAATATTAGTGCCGAGTCTTGGCATATCTTAGTAAGGCCATGCGAATACATTCACGTATTTTCAGAATAATTCTTTTAACTTTTACCTATCTGTTGATAAAAGGATGTACTAATCTTAACTTCTCTTCTATTTTCATCATCTCCTAAATTCACTAATTCAGTAATCTCTTGATGAGGCTTAATTGGCTTATCTTCATGCTTTATTAGTTTCAATAAATCAAGAGGTAGAGCGTAATCATCTGAGTCCTTTTCATTATCAAGTTCATCAACA